CTCGAACCCATGGGCTCAGGCAATCCACTCACCTCATCCTCCCCAAGGCGCAGGATTACAGGCTGAGCCACCGAGCCCAGCTGATACTATTTTCTTATTCTCATTCTTTCTTTCTTTTTTTTTGAGTTGGAGTCTCACTCTGTAGCCCAGGCTGCTAGGCTAGAGTGCAGTGGCATGCTCAGAGCTCACCACAGCTTCAAACTCCTGGGTTCAAGCGATCGTCTCACCTTAGCCTCCCAAGTAGTTGGGACTACAGGTGTGTGCCACCATGCCCAGCTAATATTTTGATTTTTTGTAGAGACGAGGTCTTGCTGTGTTACTTAGACTGGTCTCAAACTCCTGGGCTCAAGCAGTCCTCTCTCCCTGACCTCCCATAGTGTTGGGATTGCTGATGTGAGCCACCACACATAGCCTGCTATTTTATTTGTCAATGACTTAAACTAAAAAAGTTAACATACAAAATAGTTTATAATCATACCTAATTGATTTTGCATAGGCTGTGCAACAGGTTATTACTAACCTACTAATTGGGCAGATAGAGCTTCGTTCTGAAGATTCTCCAGATATTTTGCCATATTCTCATGAAAGACGAGTTGAAAAGCTTGTTGTTCCTCTTGGTGAAGAACTTGTAGCCATCCAAAAGATATATATTCAGGTAAGTCATTTTTATCACAATTTAGGGTATAGATAAATGAACTGGTAATTTAATTATTTTAGCTGACAGGATTTTGCTGTGATGATATACAGTTATCTCATTTTATATAAATAATATAATTCTTTGAAATTAAAAATTTTTGGAATGAGCACTGTGTTTTAATACACTAGCAAACTGTTATTTAAAGGGGAAAGAGAAAACATGTACCATTTCTAAAGCAGATAGTAACCTTATATGGTTTTGTATCTTTTCTTTTTTTTCTTCTTTTTTCCATTTTTATTTTAGATTCAGGGGGTACAATGCATGTTTGTTACATGGACATATTGTGTAATGGTGGGAATTGGGGCTCAGGTGGCCCATCCCCCAGGTGGTAAATATTGTACCCATTAGGTAATTTCTGAACCCTAATCCCCTTCCCCACCTTCCCCCATATTGGTGTCTCCATTGTCTATTATTTTTATCTTTGTGACCATTTAGCTCAGGCAATGTTTGGTTTTCTGTTTCTGAGTCAGTTCACTCAGGATGATGGTCTCCAGCTCCATCCATATTGCTGCAAAAGACATGATTTCATTCTCTTTTATGGCTGTGTAATATTCCATGGTGTATATATACCAAGTTTTCTTTATCTAGTCATCATGGGCACTGTGGTTGGTTCTGTGATTTTGCTATTGTGAATAGTGCTACAATGAACATATGAGTACAGGTATCTTTTATATATTGATTTCTTTTTATATATTGATTTCTTTTCCTCTGAGTAAATCTCAAGTAGTGTGATTGCTGGGTCAGATAATTAGTTTTTTGGTAAGTCTCCATGCTGTTTTCCACAAAGGTTGAACTAGTTTACATTCCCACCAGCATGAATGAGTGTTCCCTTTTCTTCGCCACCGCACCAACATCTGTTCTTCTTTGACTCTAGTAATATCCATTCTGAGTGGTATAATATGGTATCTCAATGTGGTTTTAATTTGCATTTCTCTGATGATTAGTGATATTGAGCCTTTTTTCGTGTTTGTTGCCTACTGGTTTGATATTTTTTCAAGTAAACATTTTAACTGCAGTACAAGCCATAGACACACATATTCACACATTTATATAAATAACACCAAAGTACACAAAACATGAGTATATTGCTCAGTGAATTATCACAAAATAAACACACCCATAACATGTACCCAGCTTCAGCCAGGTGTTTCTTTGTAATGAAATTTATTTTCTGGGTTTTTTTTGTTTGTTTTACCTTTTAATTCTTAAACTTGTGTGTCACTTGTTTACTTATATTTGAGATGGGATGCAATAATTTGTCATATCTTCATTCCACAACTGAAGTCATCCTCTTCTGCCTTAAACCAATATCTCTTCCTCTATTCCCTCACTCATTGGGGCACCCCTATGCAGGAGGCTCCTCAACTTGAATCCTGAAGATCTAAGAGAATGAAGTACATTTTCAGCATTTTCTTCCCAGTTCCCTTATACAAGCAGTGGTTTTCAACTGGAATTGATTTTACCCACCTGGCAGCATTTGGAAATGTCTTGACACATTTTTAGTTGTTATAACTAAGGGCAGAAGAGAAGGACAGGCAGGAGGTAGAGTGTGGAGTTGTTACTGACATCTAGCTTATAGAGGTCAGGAAGCTACTAAACATCCTGCAGTGGACAGAGCAGACATCCCACAGCAAATAATTATCTGACCCAAATGTCAATATTGTAGCTGTTGAGAACATGCAAAGACAGTTGTCATTTTCCCTAGTGGAAATTTGAGGTAACACATTTTTTTATAGTTCATTATTAATGTTATGTTTGGAGAACAACATATTTTCACATTTTATTACCATGGATTAAAGATAATACCAAGAATAGGTAACTAAAATATTCATCTATCATCTAATCTATCATAAGCTTATCTTTATTTTTACTTTTTTTTTTTTTTTTAGTTGGAGTCTCTCACTCTGTTGCCCAGACTGGAGTGCAGTGGCAGGCTCCCAGCCACCGCAGCCTCGACCTCCTGGGCTCCGGCGATCCTTCTGCCTCAGCCCTCCAAGTAGCCGGAATTACAGGCACGTGCTACCACACCTGGCTAGTTTTTGATTTATTGTAGAGATGAGATCTTGTCAAGTTGCCCAGGTGGGTCTCGAACCTGCGGGCTCAGGCAAATTCACTCACCTCGGCCTCCCAAAACGTGGGATTACAGGCTGAGCCACTGAGCCCGGCCTATTTTTACATTTGTTTTGAGGTGGGGGTCTCACTCTGTTGCCCAGATTGGGGTACAGTGGTGTAATCATAGTTCACTGCAGCCTTGAACTTCTGGGCTCATGTGATCCTCTTGCCTCAGCCTCCTGAGTAGCTAGGACTACAGGAGCATGCCACAAAGCCTGAATACTTTTTTTATTTTTTGAGTGAAGAAGTCTTGCTACGTTGCCTGTTCTGATCTCAAACTCCTGGTCTCAAGCTATATTCCCATCTCAGCCTCCCAAGGTACTGGGATTACAGGTGCAGGTTACTGTGCCCAGTGTAAGTCTTTCTTAAACAGAGGTTTTATAGGAATGCAGTTTGTTTTTTGCTTTAAAATTATTTGTAGGCAGGCACTGTGGCTCACACCTGTAATCCCAGCACTTTGGGAGGCAGAGGCAAGAGGATTGCCAGAGCCCAGGGGTTCGAGACAAGCCTGGGCAACTTGGTGAGACCTTGTCTGCACAATAAATCAAAAAATTATCTGGGCGTAGTGGCACGTACCTGTAGTTCCAGCTATTGGAAAGCTGAGAGGGAAGGATCGCCTGAACCCAGCAGGTCAAAGCTGCGGTGGCCATGAGTGTGCCACTGCTCTCCGGCCTGGGTGACAGAGTGAGACTCCAACTCAAATAAATAAAATAAAATAAATAAATAACATTATTTGTAACAAAATTCTAAACATTATTGAATTAAGATATGGCAAAATCTTCTCAGTAGCCATCTCTTAGATACTAATGCATTTTTAAATTAGAATAATTTCATTTATAACTATAAAAATTATGATTTGCATAATTACATACAATGAGAATTTAATTTTGTTGATTTTGTCAGAGTACTTCATTAGGCAGTGTGATCAGTGCTGGAAAGGAGAAAAGAAAAATGTGTGAAAATAGTTCTATTTCAGAACATAAAATTTAGGCAAAAATTTCAACAATCAGCCGGGTATGGTGGCTCAAGCCTGTAATCCCAGCACTTTGGGACGCTGAGGCGAGAGAATTGCCTGAGACCAGGGGTTCGACACCAGCCTGGGCAACTTGTGAGACCTCGTCTCTACGATAAATCAAAAAATTTGCCAGGCATGGTGGCTCATACCAGTAGTTCCGGCTACTTGGAAGGCTGAGGTGGAAGGATCACCTGAGCCCAGCAGGTCGAGGCTGCAGTGACTGTGAGTGTGAGGCTGCACTCCAGCCTAGGCAACAGAGACTCCAACTCAAAACAACAACAACAAAAAATTCAATTAATTATACTGCTATAGTAGGTCTTCATCTGTAAGTCTTTTCCTTCAGTATGTCATCAGGTCTTGCTGCGCTAGGACTTTCTGTCTGTTGTTTTTCTCTTTCTGGAATCTTCTGTCCTTAGAGCCTCATGTGGCAGACATGCCTGTCATTTGCATATTAACTCACATATAACCTCTTCAAAGAGAGACAGTCTTTGTTCACCTTTTAAAATAGTGGTTCCTTTTCTTTTCTTTTTGAGTAGTAGTCTCACTCTTGTCTAGGCTGGAGTGCAGTGGCATGCTCATGGCCACCACAACTTCAACCTGCTGGACTCAGGCGATCCTTCTGCTTCAACCTTCCAAGTAGCTGGAACTACATGCCATCATGCCCAGCTAATTTGTTTGATTTTTTGTAGAGATAAGGTCTCGCCATGTTACCCAGGCTGGTCTCAAACTTGTAGGTTCAAGCAATCCTCTCGCCTCTGCCTCCCAAAGTGCTGGGGTTACAGGCATGAGCCACAGCACCCAGGTAGTGGACCCTTTTCAAAGACTCTAGTGTTACTGTATTCCAATTTTATTTTGAGTTGGAGTCTTACTCTGTTGCCCAGACTGGAGTGCAGTGGTGCAATCACAGCTCATTGCAGCCTCAACCTCCTGGGCTCAGGCTTTCCTTCTGCCTCAGCCTCCTGTGTAGTTGGGACTACAGGCAAGCAACACCATGTCCAGCGAATTTTTTTTTTTGAGTTGGAGTCTCACTCTGTCGCCCAGACTGGAGTGCAGTGGCAGCTTCCGGCCGCTGCAGCCTTGACCTGCTGGGCTCCGGCGATCCTTCCGCCTCAACCTTCCAAGCAGCCGGAATTACAGGCATGTGCTACCACGCCCGGCTGATTTTTTGATTTACTGTAGAGATGAGGTCTCGCTCCCCAGGTGGGTCTCGAACCCGCAGGCTCAGGCAATCCACTCACCTCAGCCTCCCAAAGGCGCGGGATTACAGGCTGAGCAACTGAGCCCGGCGTCCAGTGAATTTTAACATTTTTTTTTTGAGCTGGACTCTTACTCTGTCGCCCAGGCTGGAGTGCAGTGGCACACTCCTGGCCACCACAGGCTCATCCTGCTGGGCTCAGGTGATATATCCGCCTCAGCCTTCCAAGTAGCGAGGACTACAGTCGTGTGCTACCATGTCCAGCTAGTTTTTTGATATATTGTAGAGATGAGGTCAGGCTAGTCCTGAACCCACGGGCTTGGGCAATCCTCTCACCTCAGCCTCCCAGAGTGCTGGGGTTATAAGCTTGAGATACTACGCCTGGCCTTAAATTTTTTTTGTAGAGACAAAGTCTCCCTATATTTCCCTGGCAGATCTTGAATTCCTGGACTCAAGCAGTTCTCCCGCCTTGGCCTCTAAAAGCACTAGCATTACAGGTGTGAGCCACTGCGTCCGGCCTGTGTTTTAGGTTCTTAAATGCATTTATCATAATTTGCTTTCTCATGATTTGCTTTCTCTGTTCACTTCTTTATTGTTTCCCTTCTTTGGATTGTAAACTATATGAGAACAGTGAGTGACTGTCTTAGCCACATTATCACCAGCATTTAGAAGAATATTTGGTACACAGTAGATACTTAATAAATGTTTGTTGAAAGAATGCATCAATGAATTAAGTTAAATATATTCAAGGCATTTCAATATAGTCAACACTTTACAAATATTTGCCAAGGACCTAAGTGTCAGAATGTTCTAGGCACTGAGGATGCAACAGTGAAGAAATCAAAGGCCTTTCTTTTATGGTACTTAGATTATAGTGTATCTAGGTTGAGGGAGGGAGGAGTTAAGACATAAACAGATAACTGAATATTTTCTTCTCTTTTTTTTTTCTTTGAGTCAGAGTCACACCGTGTCATCCAGGCTGGAGTGCAGTGGCACACTCACAGCCACCGCAGCCTTGACCTCCTAGGTTCAGGTGATCCTTCCTCTTCAGCCTTCCGAGTAGCTGGAACCACAGGCATGCGCCACCATACCCGGCTAATTTTTTTTGTTTATTGTAGAGATGTGCTCTTGCCATGTTGCTTAGGCTGGTCTCGAACCCCTGAGTTCAGGCAGTCCTCTCATCTCTGCCTCCCAAAGTGCAGGGATTACAGGCATGAGCCACCATGCCCAGCCCCACATGTGTTCTTATATTATAGCTGGATATAATAATTGCTTGTACTGACTCCTATATGGATGTTTTCTGGGAATAAATGTCAAATACTGTTAAATTTTGTTGTTATTTTGCCTGTGTTTACTTAAAAATTCATTGTAAGACAAACATTTAAATATATATCTCTTATTTTAATATGTGAGAAAACACTTGTATTTGAAAAAGAACTTTAAAACTAGCTTAAAGTTGATTTATTTTGAATTTGCAGATTTTGGAAGCATTTGCGAGTTCTTTGATTCAGAGGAATGTTTTGATGAGAAGTGATATCCCCAATCTAACAAAATATCAGATAATTCTGGCAAGAGATCAGTTTAGGAAAAACCCATCTCCAAATATTGTGGTAGGTATTTTAAAGTAATTTTGATTATAGATTTACTTTTTACTCAGATGATAAGATGTAGATAATGAGTTTTTTGTTATATGTTAACTCATTGAGAAGTGAAAAATGATATAAATAGTTTGTAGCAAGAATGCAGTTTAATGATCTGAATTAAGATAAATTTATCTTTTAGCTTTAAATAAGGAATTAGTCTTTCGGTCTTTTCTATTTTGTTAAAGTCAGAGGGTCATGAGAAGGTGGATTCTAACTAAAGTTTAGACTTAGAACATTTAATCTTATTCTTGATACCAGAGGTTGAAGGAAGTATCCCAGCAAGCTTCTTACTTCTAACTTTCATAGGAAAAAAAAATAGATGAATAGGAAAATATCAATTAGCTAAGTCCAAAATCAGAAGAGATGTTCACAAGCTCACAAAGGCAGTGTGTCATTCTTTGAGCTGAGAGGGAATGCATGTGCACAAGAACAGAGGCAGCTGAGTGAAGGCATGCAGGAAAGAGACAGTGAGCAAACTGATTTGGCTGAGGGTAGAGGATTGAAGCAGCCTGATAACATTTAATGTAGGTTGTGACTAGGTGGGAGTAGCATTAAATGTTTCACCAAGAAATGAGGTCTTTATAATATGTTTTAATTTCTGTTATGAATTCAAAGTTCATTGACATTTTAAGTAGTAAATTTTTTTAATTGGGGTCTCAATCTGTCACCCAGGATGAGTAAGTACGGTGGCATGATCACCACCCAACTGCAGCGTCAACCTCCTGGGCTCAGGTGATCCTGTCTCTTCAGCCTCCCGATTAGCTGGGACTGCAAGTGTGTACCACCACACCCAGCTGATTTCTAAAATTTTTTTTAATTTTTATTTTTTGTAGAGATGAGGTCTTGCTATGTTGCCCAGGCTGGTCTCAAACTCCTGGGCTCAGATAATCCTCCTGTCTCAGCCTCCCAAAGTATTGGGATTATAGGTATAAGCCACTGTCCTGGCCTTAAATAGTAATTCTAAACCTCTTGAACTTGGTCTTACTAATGAGGCTTTATATTTTACAGAGAGGCGGCTTTACTCTCTGAGGTAATTTGGATACCATTTTAGGGCGTTTATTACAATCCTAGAAATATTTAAAATGACTCTTACTGTTATTAAATGCTACTAAATATGTAAGATAGAAAACAATAGTCTTCATCTCAAATAAAGGAAAATAATTAAAATATATTCTCAGTTGTCTCTTGTAAAATTATCTTATCAAATAGATGCACTTGCCATGTTCTCCAGTCAAGAAATGTGTACTTCATTTTTCTATGAGAGCAGTGGTTGAAAACATAAGGCCCCTTGACTGAATTTCCTGGTTTAAATACTGGTTCTACTACTTAACCACCTGTATGAGGTTCCTCATCTGCAAAATGGGCATAACAATAATAGCTTTCTCCTAGGTATTAAAATTAAATGAGTTTCTGCACATAATGTGCTTAAAACAGTGTCTAGTGCACAGAGTCAGATATAGCATGTATACTTGGTATTAAATGTTGATGTTAAGACAGTCTGATTGTTTTTCCTTTTGTCAGTAACATTCATGAGGATAGACCCGTGCCTAAATTATTTTCTATTTCTTTTTTTTTTGAGTTGGAGTCTCACTCTGTCGCCCAGACTGGAGTGCAGTAGCCACTCCCGGCCACCATAGCCTCAACCTGCTGGGCTCTGGCGATCCTTCTGCCTCAGCCTTCCAAGTAGCTGGAAGTACAGGCGCGCGCTACCACGCCCAGCTAAGTTTTGACTTATTGTAGAGATGAGGTCTCGCCATGTTGCCCAGGCAGGTCTCGAACCCGCGGGCTCAGGCAATCCACTCACCTCAGCCTCCCAAAGGCACGGGATTACATTATTTTCTATTTCTGTTGTATCTCAACTATCTAACTTAGCACTTGATATGTATTAGGGGCTTACTAAATAATTTTGAAATAAATGAATCCATATACTGCTAATAATTTGCCTATTAGGAGTAGCAGTCTATGACAGATATTGTTCCCTTTTGCTTATTCTCTGTTAAATGTAAGTTTCCTGCTTAATTAAAAAGGGGGCACAGATTTTATATGGAAGACATATTGACACCTTTTCATAGCAACATCCTATAACATGACATTTAATAGAACCAATCAGTTATAGTCAGTATAAGAAGGGAGTAATTATTATCATCATTTGTATTGTATTATGTTAAATTGACTGTTGACCTGACAACTTGGGCATGGAGCGTATATGTTCATTTCTCTCTCTGATTAAATTTGACATATGCTATTTTTCTAGGGAATACAACAAGGCATAATCGAGGGAGAGTTTGCTATTTGTATTAGTTTATATCATGGTTATGAATTATTGCAGCAAATGGGAATGAGATCATTATATTTATTCCTTTGTGGAATTATGGATGGAACTAAAGGTAAGTTATATGAAATTATTTAAACAATAATGATATGAATTATTTTTGTTAGACACATATGTCGAGCAGTTTGGATTACTTAAAAATGCTTTTTTAAAAAAAGTAATGGAATAATTATGTATCAAATGGCCATAGTTCTTGGTTTTTGATAAATTGCTGTAAAAAGAAAGCCATTTATTAATACATGTGTGAATATGAAACTGGAAAAAGTTGCTGGTTTTCATGTTTAAACTTTTTGAAAAACTTGCATTTATTGCTAAGGTTTAATTTATTTTCAATAAATTATTAGTTATTAATGTTTATTTATTTAGAAAACCTTTTCTTAATTTCTAAAGGAATGACACGGTCAAAAAATGAACTTAGCCGAAATGAGGACTTCATGAAACTCTATAATCATCTAGAGTTCATGTTTGCACATACGCGTAGTACTTCTGCAAGTGGTATTTCTGCTATCCAACAAGGTCTGGTTTTTCATTTAAAATTACGTATTGTGTTGTTTATTTTTACCATGGTTAATTTTGAAATTTTGTTTCATTGATGCACATGTCTATCTGTAATTATTTATATTTCTGTAGAAATAGACCTGTTGGGGATGGGGAAGCACCTCTAATCAATAGGGTGCCTGAATGAAACGTATTTGTATACCTAACCCTTAACTGTACCCCACAACATCATAATAAAAAAAATTGATTATTGAAAAATAAATAAATAAATAAAAGAGAAAGAAATAGACCTGTTAAATGCGTGAAGATTTTATTCTTTAAGTTAGGCTTAATATATATTCAAGTTTAAAGGTTATAAATTTGTTTAAGCAAGTTATAAACTTAAAACTTATAGATGTTAGTAGTTGTTGCTGGTAGTGAAAATTCTTAGAACTACCAAAAATTGCCTTATAGTTTAATTAGATAGGTATTTTTTCTTTCCTTTTGTTTTGTTGCTGATTCTTGTTTGGGTTCTCTCTCTAAATTAAATTTTTGTAAAAGTTCAGAAGTCATTTTACAGTAAGACTTATGTGCTACCGAGATGTTACTATTTAAATAAAAAGAAAAAAGTTTTTATGCACTTTGAAAAAGATAACTTCATATACATTAATGTAATTGAATATGGGAATAATCAAAAAAATCCTTGGTGTTTTTGTTTTTTGCAGGAGATAAAGATAAAAAAAATTTTTATAGTCATCCAAAGTTAAAGAAATTAGAAGAAGTTGTAGTTGAACACTTCAAGTCATGGAATGGTAGGTCATATTTAGTAGCTTCACGACAAAACAAAGTTATTGCAAGAGCTAAAACTTCAACTCATTAATCTATACTAAGACTTCCTATGGAGAAGATGGCCTTTTACTTACTATGGATAATGAATATTAAAAAGTTCTGAGTCAGGTGCTGTGGCTCATGCCTGTAATCCCAGCTCTTTGGAAGACAGAGACGAGAGGATTGCCTGAGTCCAGAGGTTGGAGACCAGCCTGGGCAACTTGGAGAGACCTTGTCTCTACAGTAAATCAAAAAAATTAGCCAGACGTTGTGGCGTGCATCTATGGTTTCAGCTACTTGAAAGGCTGAGGCAGAAGGATCACCTGAGCCCAGCAGGTTAAGGCTATGGTGGCCGTGAGCGTGTCACTGCACTTCAGCCTGGGTGACAGAGTGAGACTCCAACTCAAAAAACAAAACAACAGCAAAAACAACTGAGAAATTTTGTAAGGGTGAAGGCAAGGGGAATAGTGGGAATGTTAAGAATAAAGTATTATAATGAAAAAAAAAGTTAATTTGGGGCAATATAGGTGTAGCAGACAATAAAACAACATATAATATAATGGTAGGGGGAAGTAGATAAGGAAAGAGAGAGTCATGGAGGAGAGCTGTTAATTGTAGGGTGGTTAGAGGAGGCCTATCTGTAGAGTAGTGTTTGAGGTGATATTTGATGGAGATGCAAACAAACCTTGTGGACTTCTGGGGAAGGATCATGCCAAGCAGTAAGAATAGCAGAATAAAAGGCCCCAAGACTGCAGAGTGGTTGGGTATGATTAAGATCAGTAAACCAACTAATGTTAAGGTTAGAGTAGTGAATGAGGCTGAGTGGTATAGGCAAGAAGCAGAAAGAAGCCAGATTATGTAGGACTTGTAGGCCAAGTGAGAACTTTGGTTTTTTGGGGGAGCTTTTTGTTTATTTTTGAAAGCAGCGTTTATTGAGAGAACAGAAAAGCTCCCACAGTGGGAGGGGACTCGAGGGAGTTTCCCAGGACTTTGGTTTTTAATTTATGAATGTTTTTGCTTTGAGAAACCATTACAGAAGTATTTACAACAGTAGAGTGACATGATCTCACTTACACTTTAAAAGGATCACTCTGGCCGGGAATGGTGGTTCAGCTTGTAATCCCAGCACTTTGGGAGACTGAGGTGAGTGAATTGCCTGAGCCCGTGGGTTTGAGGCCCACCCGGGCAACTTGATGAGACCTCTTCTCTACAATAAATCAAAAAAATTAGCCAGTCATGGTAGTGCATGCCTGTAGTTCCGGCTGCTTGGAAGACTGAAGTGGAAGTATTGCCGAAGCCCAACAGGTTGAGGCTGCAGTGCCGGAATCATGTCTGGGCGACAGAGTGAGACTCCAACTCCAAAAAAAAAAATAAAAAGGATCACTCTGCACTCTGGGCCAGGTGTGGTGACTCATGCCCATGATTGCAGCACTTTGGGAGGCCTAGGCAGGAGGATAGCTTGAACCCAGGAGTTCTAGACCCTCTGAGGCAACATAGTGAGACCTTGTCTCTACAATAATTAAAATCAATGTAAAAAAAATTTTTTTTTGAGTTGGAGTCTCACTCTTGTCACCCAGGTTGGTGCAGTGGGCACACTCACGGCCACCACAGCCTTGACCTGCTGGGCTTAGGCGATCCTTCTGCCTCAGCCTTACAAATAGCTGAAACTACAGACACATGCCACCACACCCAGCAAGTTTTTGTGATTTATTGTAGAGCTCTCACCAAGTTGCTCAGGCTGGTCTAGAACCCCTGGGCTCAAGCAGTTCTCTGACTTCAACCTCTCAAAGTGCTGGAATTACAGGCTGAGCCACCACACCTGGCCAGTGTAAAACTTTTTAAAAATAAAAATAAAAGGACTACTCTGATGGTCTTGTGGAACATAGACGTCGACAAGTTGTGATAGTCTTGGATGGTGACAGATGATAGCGTGCACCAAGGCAGTAATGGTGGAGACGCTGAGAAGTGGTTCGACTCTAAATGTATGTTGGAGTTGGAGCCGACTTATTGTATTGTTGCTGGATTGGAAATAGAGTATGAGGAAATAAAGAATCTTAAGGCTATGTACATATGTGTATAAGTTTTGCAAGTGATTATATGAGAGCAAAGAAAAAATTAGGAATAACATAAAGAGAAGTCTATGTGGTAATGAATATGTTAATTAACTTGATTTAGCCATTACATAGTGCATACACATATCAAAACACCCGTGTACCGTAAATATATACAACTTATATTTGTCAATTTAAAAGAACAACAGAGAAGAAGGAGCAAACATGTTAAGATGTTTTTGAGACATCAAAGCATCAAGTAGGCATTGAATAAGTGAATCAGAAGAATGGTTGGGGCTATTTCTATATTTGCACATATATGAATGCATTTTGGAGTCATCAGCATAAAGGTAATATTTAAGTTTCAGGAATATATGTGATTATCAGAAAGTTTAGAGACAGACAGAAGAGTGTCCAGAGAGGAGTTCTGAATAATAGCATTTAGAATTTAGAGGGGAAAAAAGCCACCCAGAAGATTGGGTAGGAAGCCAGACAAGTACAGTGTCAAAGAAGCTAAGGGAAGAGACTGTTTTAGTAGGAAAGAGCAGACTGTGTTATAATGAACTAGAAAATGTACATTGAAAGGTAGGTTGTAGCAGGGTATAGGAGATGGGCTATGCAGTGAACATAGCAATTCATTAGGAGTTGGTCACATACAGAGTCTTGATGCTTGGTGCTATGATGATTCAAAGGAAATTTATCTAGGACAATTTTACTTGCAATAACTGCTTCTTCAAGTCCTATTTGTTTGCTTATGTATTTTGAATTAACTTTATATTTAATGCTGGGCATATGGCTCACACCTGTAATCCCAGCACTTTGGGAGGCAGAGGTGAGAGGATTGCCTGAGTCCGGGCGTTCTAGACCAGTCTGGGCAACTTGGTGAGACCTCATCTCTACAATAAATCAAAAAATTAGCCTGGTGTGGTGACATGCATCTGTAGTACCAGTGACTTGGAAGACAGGTGGAAAAGATCGCCTGAGCCCAGCAGGCTGAGGCTGAGGTGGCTGTGAACATGCCACTGTACTCCAGCCTGGGCGACAGTGAGTCTCCTACTCAAACAACAACAACAACAACTTTATTAGGTCATTTATTCCTTAGGGTTTTTGTGAAGATTAAATGAATTAACATAAGATGCTTAGGCGGTCCCTGGCACACATGTGGTGATATATCTAATATAAATTCGAAGAATGAAGAATTGTCCAAGTCCAGTGAAACTTAAAAACAAAACAAATCGCCGGGCTCGGTGGCTCAGCCTGTAATCCCGCGCCTTTGGGAGGCTGAGGTGAGTGGATTGCTTGAGCCCGCAGGTTCGAGACCCACCTGGGCAGCGAGACCTCATCTCTACAATAAATAAAAAAATGAGCCTGGCGTGGTAGCTCATGCCTGTAATTCTGGCTACTCGGAAGGCTGAGGTGGAAGGATCGCCAGAGCCCAGTAGGTCGAGGCTGCGGTGGCCGGGAGCGGCCACTGCACTCCAGTCTGGGTGACAGAGTGAGACTCCAACTCAAAAATAAATAAATAATAAAAAAATTAGCCAGGCTGGGTGCAAATGGCTCACCCTTGTAATACCAGCACTTTGAGGTGGGAGGATTGCTTGATCCCAGGAGTTCAAGACTAGGCTGGGCAGCTAGTCTCAAAAAAAAACAACTAAAATAAAACAAAACAGATAACCAGAAACATCATACAAACTGCAATAATTAACGAATTATTATTATTATTATTTTCTTTTTTTTTTTTTGAGTTAGAGTCTCACTCTGTCGCCCAGACTGGAGTGCAGTG